CTTTTAGCTAATAAACACCAGTTTATGTAGGGGAGATCCGTGTGTCATAATAACTTATGAGATGAATCATCAATTTTCAAACTCTGAACACATTTAAATGACTACTAAATTTTTTTATTTTCCACAATTATTTAACACAACAAAACAAACTTTTCAGCTAATTCCTTGATTTCGAAACTGAGACTTTTGGAGACCTGGAATGTAAATGCCTGTCTCTGAAACACTGTCCGTGAACATCTGCTGTTTAAATGTGCTATAGGCTATAAATAAAACAGACAAAACATTCAGACATTTTGACTTTTTAATAAAAAAAACAACAACAAAGAAAAGCCCAAAACATTTATCTGACAAAATTCAGAGGGCTACATACCGAACAGAGGATAGAAACAATGTATCGATCCTATCTCGCTGGTTTCGTAAGACCTGTCAGCAGTCTGGAGTTGCTTCACACTGAAAGCATTTGGAGCCTCGCTACATGCTGCCAAACCGGCATTTAATCTCCGAGCAACCTATCCCAGAAATGTGAAGCAAGTGTGTAAGTTCATCACCGAATGTTTTTAAAGCATTCCTACATTAAGCTTTACAACCGATATATGCAGCTCAGACGTCTGTGCATTGTCATTATTAAATCTGACCGTTCAATGGATAGACTCAAGTCTTTCTTTGGAAAAAGCAGTGTTGCAGACGAAACCGTTTCGTGTTTTAAAAAAAAGAAACTATGAAAAATAAGTTTTTTATACTTGTGTTAAGCTGTGTGTAGAAATTACACAAAATTCAGTCTCAGGTTAAATGTGATAGAAACAGCTTCCGTCTTAATAAAATATGAGTGTCATGAAGCCATATTTGCATTTATTTGCACTGCTTTCCAGTCTGGGTGTCAATTTATGTTCAGCTTTAAGTATAAAAGGGTCCATTCTACAACGTGTTGTTATTTTTTTTTTTTTAAGTTGTTGAATATAAACATTATTTTTGTGCTGATACTGCACTTCTTTTTTTCCAGAACCAAAGAGGTTTTGAAATATGCATAAAATTGCATTTCGAATTACTTTTTGAATATTTCTTAAAATACTTAGATTTAAAGTTCTACCAAAAGTTAAAATAAAAAGAACAGTATTGGTGAACTTTAAATATTTTGGGTGCAATGTATTTTTGCATACGGGTATAATAGAATAGCTTTGGAGTTTTGTTTTTTAAAACTTGAGTATGTACTTATACAAAATGTAACAAGACATAAAAAACTGTTTTATTGATTATAAAATACACTATATCAGATTCATATCAGTATCGACAGATATCCAAATTTATGATATCGGTATCGGACAAAAAAGTGGTATGAGCCATTTTAGTCTGTACGTAGCTACATCTGTATGAGGGCACAGAGCTGCACGTCATCGACCCAGTCTGCGGCTCTTTTTCAAAGTCTGCAGTCATTCGTAGCGACGCATGAAACAAAATCACGTGGCCGATACAAACTACGGTGACCGTTAAGTTACATACGGGCAACCTACGTTGAGCGTGTCACGTGAAACAAACATTTTAGATTCACATTAAGTCTTTTTTTTTTTTTTTAAACAAAACAAAATCATATAGATTGTAATCATGACTGTATGTGTGGCGATGTTCGCGCAAAGTTTCGCTGAGATTGGCCCAAACGGGAGACGCTGTACTTACAGACATCCTGAGATCAATATAATAAAAGTTGTTTCAGAGTTCAAATCCTCGTCTCTCCGCCCTCTCTAACGAAAATGAAAGTGAAAGTAAGAGTAACGCAAGCAGCAAGCTATCGAGGTCGGCGGAGAAACTGCAGAGAAAGAAAAAACAAACCGGACTCCTGGATTTCACGTTTTTCTCGTCC